GGACCTGTCCTCGTACCAGTGTCAAGATAAAGCTTGTATTGCTACTATGTACATATACTAGCTATCAGTAGTCAAAGTTTTCCAGAGAGGACATTCGCCTTTCAGATGGCTACCGTAACAATTTGTGACGAATTTGTCCGGGAGTGTTCTCTCTGGTCCCTTGAACAATCCTCTTGAAAATTTGTTATATTAATGATCATTAATTGTAGTTTGCAAACCTTAAATAACCTTTGATAATAATATAATCCTATAAAAATATTTGAGAAGAATATGGAGATAGCGAACAGTATTCAATATCAAAGTCCATAAAACAATACAAAAAAGGAGCAGAGCAAAACACGGACCTCCGAAACATCAGAGATGGAATGAGGTGTCATGGAGGAGTGATCACCCCTGCTGACCGGTCACACCCTCCGTGTGCTCATTGTAATGATCGTGAAATAACGGAAAAATCCATCGTCAATTCTGTGTATAAATAATGGCCTAACAATTGGTATAAAAAACGTAAGTCAGTGTTTGACTCGATGATAAATTGTAATTTGCTGACAAGGCCATTTTATCGACCATAGAACTTACGAAATGATGACTTTTAACAAAACTGCTGATATTCTTGTTTCATCAACTTGCTTGTCAATAATTTAGCTCGTTTTATAAATTGTTCATACCTAGAGCATGCTCTTGCGTATGGAATCAACTGAGATATATAAACTCCGCATGCAGTTGATGAAGGTATACTGCTGCATAAGTAAGGGAAGTTGACGATTGAAAAGTTAATTCGTCACGTTTATCATCTTACTTGGTTGTTGGCTTACCATCAACGTCTTTTTCAAGTAAAATATCCAAGTATGAAACAGATTTGTTAGACTCGGTGGTATCTTTTATCTCAAGCTCTTCTGGATATATCGTATGGACGTAGGAATGGAAATTACCATTGTTAATTGACAATACGTCGTCGATACACATCTATCTGAAGTCGAGTTGAAGGCCAGAACAAGTGTTTTATTCTTTTCACGCATAAAATTTTGCACAAATTCTGCTTCATATGAATACAGAAATAGGTCTGCTAATAGCGGGGCGCAATTGGTTCCCATGAGGGTTACAATAGATTGTTGGAAGACCTGGTCTCCAAAAACTACATAGATATTGTTAATAAGAAACTCAAGCATCTTCTTGATGTCAAGTTCAGAGTGTGTACAAAATCTTTTTTAAACAATTTACGTGTTCCATTTTTATTGAAAAAGCAGTTGTCAATGATATCAAAAAGCCTGGATTTTAATTTATTGTGGGGAGTGGTTGTGTATAAAGTTGAAAAGTCTTAAGTTTTTAAGCTGTTGATTTTGGTAAAATCTTGTGAATTCAAATTCCGCGAAGCGGATTATAAAAAAGCGTAATCTGACCGAAACCAGATTATACCTCAGAATCGGGATTTTTAGCGTCAATTAGGCTAAATTTGGGAATCTCCCAGAAAACCCAGTAATCTAAAAAGCATTGTCAAAAAGCTTTGTTTTTGTCTTTGTATTACTTTTACAAACAATTGTTACAACAAAAACAAAACTATTTTTGTACGCATTGTATAATCACTTGCATCAAGAACAATAGTTTTATGAATTACATAATTATGAAGAAATTCACATTGCTGAACAACAAAACCTACTTGAACTGCACTGAAGAAACATGCTATAAATAAACAGAATTTTATCACATATTATGTACGTTAATATTCTCCCTCACTTTGTTCGTCCGAATATAAATTAATTCTATTCTAAGTAATAACAAGAAAGACCATTTTAGGAGTGCTACTCGCTATAACCTTTAATCAATTGACAATCAAATTTATGATATGTATTTAAACATAAACTTCATTTAACTAAACTTGCATAAATCGGTATTTCAACAGACAATAAATTTTTTTCCTGAAATTTCCATATTTTGCGTGAATAAACGTGAATCGAGGTTATAGCGAGAGTCGATAAAGAATGCGTATGACCGAATTTATTTATAGTTACCTAGTCACGTGATCTACGAGTATTTTTAGCAAGTAAACAACGAAATGAATTTTATTTATATTCTCCCTCACTTTGTTCGTCCGAATATAAATTAATTCTATTCTAAGTAATAACAAGAAAGACCATTTTAGGAGTGCTACTCGCTATAACCTCGAGACAAAGGGCAAGTTATGTTTTATGAAATTATTATTGATTATTTATTTAATCATATATATTTACACTGAATACATTAATAACTCCGTTTTCTTATATTCCCAAATTTATAGAAACAGAAGTTTGTGCTTTAACACTATCCTTAATATATCCGTCTTTCGCAAAATCTGTACGCCATCTGTCGTGCTCTTTAATCAACCTGTCGGACACACAATTGTTAGATGCTGCAGTGGCGCCCCCACTCCTCAAACTGTGCAGACAAAATGCTTTGCTGTCCACTCCAATCTGTGTTAATGCTTCTAGAAAAATTTCCCTAGCTCTGGTATACGACAATGGACGATTTTGTGAAACTACTTGTACTTTCTTTGTGATTTAAAATATCTAACAGATCTAAAAACATATTCATCAGAATCAAAACTCAAACTTGCCAAATCAATATAGTTTAAAAGCCATTTCACTGGACAAGTTGATGAACCTGTCTTTGAAACAATAACGTTGTTGCCTCTTCTGTAAACATCTGTTTTTCCAAATTCAATATTCAAAATAATATACGTATCGTGAAATTTTATATTTGACATTCTTAAATTAGCAAGCTCACTGTACCGCAGAAAACCCGCAAAACACAATAACACCATTGCACAAATCCTGACATTGAATAGGTTTGAAAGATCTGCACCAAATTTTTTCACAATCTGCTGTAAATGCACTACAGTTATAGGCTCTTTTTTCGTAGTTGGTTTTCCAAGTATCCTCTTTCAACTCCTTCTGTCATCATTTGAATTAATTTATCATCACACGGATTTTTCTTTAAATTAAATTTATGGAACCACTTGATACTGTAGAGATGTGCACAAAATACAGAAAAAGAGACACTTTGTTGAACACAACCACTTAAATAAACTGCTACGGAAGGCACTGATGCTGGAAGATAAGAACACTTATTTTTAATACACCATTCTCTGAATTTTCTAAAATACACTTCGTACTTCTTATTTGTAGATGTAGATTTGCTACTTTTAACGATATTCAGGATATGCTGACTGCTGCCTTCGAACTTTTTATTCTGCTCTGCAAATTGATGAACATCAGTCCAAGAAGTACCTTTCTAAAATGAGAAAAGCAAATCTTTAATTTTTTTTTTTTTTTTTTTTAATGTCCTTAATTAAATATTATTTTTCATTTTTCCAACGAATACCTTAAATTACATAATTATGTGTCTAATTATACGTGTATCACCACAACACCGTAAATTCAATTATTTTTCTGCTCATGCTGCACTACTCTCTGACAAAAACGTATTCATTTTCTTGTATTTTTTACACATTATCATATACACTTAAACATTCTGGAACCACTGGAACCATTTACTGGAACTGCTGGAACAAAACTCTGCTAACAACTTATCTGCTTCTTTTAACCATAATCCGAATAATCAATGCGTAATATTAGCACATTACTTATGAATGGTGACTGAGCAAAAACACTTTCTTTATCAGAACCGCTCACAAAAAACTTGCTTGGATGTTTAAATTCTATTACATCTTTCACAAATTCGTTAAATTTCTGTTCACAAAAATCCCAAACCATAGGCCAAAATAATGCAGATTTCCATTTTGGTGCAATCAAAATACCTTTTGCTCTACAAATGTACATATGATTTAATACTCTGGGAATCAAATATACAGGAGGCACAAGCCAATTATTTTCATTTGACCAATCAAATGCAAAGGCATCTACTCCATGCGTTCCCGGAACCCAAAACCTGGAATTAAACCTATCCAACTTTTTGTTTTTATTATTTGCAAATCTGTCGTATGTTATCGGTCCCCATTTCTTGTCACAATACTCAAATATACAGTCTGAAACTGACCAGTCGTCAAAATCAAAAATTCTACTCAGATAGTCCGCTTGAATATTTAAAGCTCTCGGTATCCATTCCAGCTCAATTACTATGCAATTATTTATACATATTTGATAAATATTCATGGCAAGATTTTGCAACTCTTAATTCATGCTACCTACTTGACATATATGTACCACATTCTGATTGTCGGTATAAATTTTCACCATCTTACCGCTTAGTTGCTTTTTCAAACTGTCCAATATAAATTCTACTGATTTTAATTCTCTCCATGTGGAACTCTTACATCTTTCTAACTCTGTGAACATATCATGCACGATATCTAAAATATTTCCCTCAACAAAACCTGCGCTGGCATATGTACTTGCGTCAGAAAATATTATATCACATCCAATTCTATTCGAATTGGAGGCTTTTATCGAAGAAAGTGTTAATTTCCCATATTACAAAATCCATAGATCCGCCTATAATCCCTATAATCAATTAGAGTTATTCCCCATTAGTCAACTTCCGTTAATCCCTTTTCATTCACAGACTATATGAATGAGGTTGGTGCAATTTTAAAGGATAATTTTTTGCAAATTTAGATATTTAGAAAAATAGTTAATGGGTATAATACATATGGATGTTTTTGTTATCTATTTGGTAGTTGTTTGCTGCAATCAATTTAGGAGTATTTTTTCATGATTTCCCGATGATCCTTGATTTTATAATGATAATTTTTTCTAGCGTCTGTTGTGGCCATTTTGTATTAGCCGACCACGTTGTATCTATATAAGTTATATAATATACCAAGGGGAGATAAAAAAAAAATAAAATAAATAAATAAAAATAATAATAATAATAATAATAAAAAAATAATAATAATAAATAAATAAATAAATAAAAAATTAGGTTAACTTTATAAAAAGAAATAATAAAGCATGTGAGAATGAGGAGATAATTAATTAAATTTCTTCTTACAAATATAAAAAATAATATATATATATATATATATAAATAAAGAATTTTCTTTTCTTTTCTGAACACGATGCCACCGAGAGCTAAGAAGCGTAGAATGGCTCAACCAGCAGCGACTGCCACACAGCAGCCAAGTGGTAGTCAGGCTACGGTGTCTGTGAATTCCCAGACGTACTCGTCGACGGCGTCGGCAGGATGTCCAGTACATGTACCAATACCACCGACCCAGGCTCCATCAACTTCCGTTGTGGCGGAAGCGCAACCCATGTTGACGACAAGTGCAGGGCCATCCTTTGCACCGACCACCTCTGGAGCAACAATCTCAACTCCAACAGATGTTGGTACCACCCCTGCTCCTGTCCCATCAATACATATGATTGGTATGAATGTTTCTAGCACAGTCAAACAACGTATTATTAGTGGGCAGTATATTGATTTGGCCACATTGGTAACACCAAAATCAGGGTCTGATGAAAAGAAATTAGTTATGAATAGTATGGGTGAGATAATTTATAAAGATGCCAACCAAAAAAAGGTAGAAAATATTGAGCAATGGACTGACCTTATGCTCATATTTGCAAGTGTGTACTTGAGTGCACATCCCGCCAAGACTCTTGACCTACTTAAGTACATACAGACCGTAAGAATGGGTGTTAGCAGGGGGGCTATATCTTGGAAAGAATAGGATACGCAGTTTAGGCTGCGCAAAGAGCAAAATCCTGTGTCTTCTTGGGGTGAAATTGACTCGGAATTATGGTTGATGTATATGCATTCTGGGCCCGCTTATAACGTAACAAATGCACCCAAAACCAATAATGATAAATGCTTCAATTTCAATTACAAGGGATCTTGTGACAAATTCTCATGCATGTATAAACACAGTTGTATTCGATGTGGTAGTAACCATCCACAGATACATTGCCTTACACAAGCCTCAAACACTGGGTCCGCACAAATATTTCGCCAACAAAATTCAAGTGGTCAATTCTATGGACAGTCAAGTTTTCGTCCACAAACCACCAATGCAAATACCAACTATAAGGGGTATTCAACCAATGCAAATACCAATTATAGGGGGTATTCCAGCAGCAACACCCAGCGCCCCACCTACTCAAGACCAAGATTCCGCACCCCGCAATCTATGGCGTCTAGGTTCAACGCCTATTAATGTACACGCCCTTAAAAAATGTCTCGTCCACTATCCTAACAGAATCATAGCAAATCGCCTAATCCAAGGGTTCTCTCAAGGGTTTAAACTTCATTATCATGGGCCTAGATTACCAATTCAATGTAATAATTTGAAATCCGCGGACGATCATCCTAATGAACTTAAAGAGAAAATCGATAAAGAAATTGAAATGGGGAGGATACAGGGTCCTTTCACGAAAATACCAATTTCTAATCTTAGGTTATCTCCAATTGGGCTAGTGCCGAAGGGGGATAATTTGGGCTGGCGTCTAATAACGCACCTCTCTTTCCCGAAGTTTAGTAGTGTAAATTCATACATAGATCCTTGTGAAACTGCTGTACAATATTCATCCTTTGATTCAGTGATTCAGATGATTGCTAAATTAGGGAAGGGGGCTTTCATAGGTAAGCGAGATATAAAATCCGCATTTCGACTTCTTCCAATATTTCCCGGCGATTTTGATCTCCTGGGTTTTAAATTTCAGGGTAATTATTTCATAGACAAATGTTTACCTATGGGGTGCTCCATTTCGTGTAAGGTTTTCGAGGATTTTTCTACAATTTTGCAGTGGGCTACGATACAGCGTTCTAAAACATCAACAATGGATCATTATCTAGATGATTTTATATTTGCTGGGAGGGATGCCCATTCCTGTCAAGATCTTATGTCGAATTTTCAAGACGTCTGCGATGATATAGGTGTTCCTATTGCCGAGGACAAATCTGAAGGCCCTACTATGGTTATGACATTTTTAGGTTTTGAGATAGATACTTATCATATGCTAGTTAAGATCCCCAATTCAAAATGCTTAGAGCTACAGGGTATTTTACACCATCTCGTTGTTCAACGCAAGATGACACTCCAACAATTACAATCTGTTTTAGGTAAACTGAATTTCTTTACAAGAGCCATAAGACCAGGTAGGGCATTTCTGCGTCGGCTTTATAATGCTACAATAGGAGTTTCAGAATTACATTATCACATAAGGATAACTCAATCAATGCGTCAGGACTTGTACATGTGGATTAATTTTCTTGAATCATTTAATGGGACTGTGTATTTTTTAGATATTGAGTGGACGTCAGACAACAACATTAATTTTTACACAGATAGTTCCGGTTCGTCTTACTTGGGATGTGGTGCTTATTTCAAAGGGGAATGGTGTTTTTACCCTTGGCCAGAGACCTGGGCGTCCAATGACCTACTTAAAGACATGACCTTTTTAGAGTTAGTTCCGGTGGTCTTGGCCGTCTATTTATGGGGTAACAAACTCGCTAATAAAAAGATCATTCTCCATATAGACAATCAAGCTGTAGTCGCTATAATAAATAAACTCACTTCTAAATCAGAGCGGGTCATGAAACTACTTAGACCATTTGTCCTTGCTTCTATGAATTATAATATTCTGTTTCGTGCAGTTTACATACCAAGTAAAGACAATGTAGTTGCTGATTCAATTTCTCGTAAGCAGTGGGCCAGATTCCGACAAGCAGCTCCACATGCCAGGGAACACCCTTGCCCAGTGCCCCTATCTTTCCGCAACATCATCTCCAGCCTGAGTTTGCTAAACTTTTAGACGCCTCAGTATCTGAAAACACACATAAATCTCATCGGGCTGGAATGGCAGCATATTACAAAGTATGTAGACTCATTGATTGCACGCCATGGCCCCCTACATTAAACTCAGTCGTGCAATTCGTTTTGCATTCATCATCATCCGGCCTCGCATATGGTACCGTGAGGTCATACTTGTCTGCCATTTCATTTTATTGTAAATTGCAGAGTGTTCACGATCCAACCCCAGAGTTCTTGGTTACAAAGTTATTGCAGGGCATGAAACGTTTGAGACATAAAGTAGATACTAGACTGCCAATAACGAAAACAATTTTGCTAAATATTATTCAAGTTCTGCCCATAATATGTACCAATGCTTTTGAAACAGCTCTTTTCTCGGCTGCATTTTCCCTGGCATTTCATGGATTTTTAAGAGTTGGCGAATTAACAGTTAATACAAGAGAAGGTGATCAACAAAACACAATTCAATTCAACAATTTGTCCATTAATCACGAAACGCAATCTCTCTTACTGACTATCCGGTATTCGAAAACGGACCAGTTAGGTAAAGGCACAGTACTTCAAATAGATAAGCAGGGTGGTGTAGCATGTCCATATCAGCTCATTACTAAATACGTCAGCATCCGTCCAGAGGGTTCAGGTACATTATTTCGACACTTCGATTTATCCCCACTCACACGATATCAATTTACGGGGGTACTTTGTAAGGCAGTAAAGCACCTAAATTTGCCTGGTATCTCAGGATACAAATCTCACTCTTTTCGTATCGGCGCGAGTACTGATCTCGCGTTAAAAGGATTTTCAACTCATGACATTAAGAGATCTGGTCGTTGGAAATCTGATTCTTACAAATCCTACATTAGCATACCAAAGTTTTAATTTAATTTTAGATATACAGACAATATGGTTGGTGGGTTCATCAATAATCAAGCACGCCTTTTTGGAAGCTGTATTAAGACCAGGTGGTACAAATTTGACATTAGAAAGAAAACACATCTCACTGTGGTGGCAGGGTTATAGTGGCCTCCAGTTAAGTAAAACTAAACAAAAGATTAGAACTCTTGGAAAGGTGGGCCCTGTACCTAATTTCATCCTTATACATTGTGGGGGGAATGACTTGGGCAATGTATCGATCAGAAAAATAAGGGTGGTTGCAAAGCAGTTGGTTTTATTTCTAAGGAATCACTTTCGAAACAGTAGGATTATATGGTCATTTATACTTCCGCGTCTCCAATGGCGCTATTCAGCAAATTTAAAAGCTATGGAAAATGCACGCAAACGGGTTAATTCTGGTATAGCTGCAATTGTCTTGCAATCTGGGGGCGCAATAATTCGCCATTCAGACATTAAACCTGATCCAGCTTTATTTTTACAGGATGGGGTACACTTATCCTCGTTGGGGAATAACATTTTTCTAAACTCTCTCCAGGGGGGACTTGAGGCTATCGTTGCCCATGGTCAATCCTGCTTTCCCAATTAGCAAGGGTCCTGGGTACGGCTGTTCGTATATGCCGCTCTACCCCCACCATGGTGGCGGAGTTCCCTGGATGAGTTTCATTCTGATCCTCATCTCAGGGAACTTGTGGCGTATAAGCGGCATTTTGGTAATTATATTGTAAGCTTTGACCTCTGCACCTCCCAGGGTCAATGCTTTCTATATATATATATGGTGAACTTTGAACTTTGATGTTGTGAACTTTGAACTTTTGATGTTGTATGAACTTTGACTTACCACTATATGAACTTTGACCTTTGGTAATGACCTTGATATATGATTTGCTTTGATGTTGAATGTTGTTTGTGCATTTGATTGGGGCATGCTCTTGTCTTGGCTGCCCATTGCCCATATGATATTGTTTGTTTTGCATTTGAAACTAAATAACAGCCGTGCCCATAATATCGCCACACTTTAATAAAATTAATTTCAAGTTACCATTTGTTTGCGTTACACTTTTCTGAGATAATACGTTCTGGTGTCTTCTGTACAGAATTCAAAATTAAATTTGGCAACGTTTTACAATTTTCATACCAAAATTCTAATTCTAATTTTACATCGGTAGAAATTTCAAAAAATGCATCCCAAGTTCTCCTGTGGCAAATCATCATACGCATTTTTCTCGACATCAATTGACAGATATTACCTAATGCAGGCATAAGTGATATGATCTTACCTAGGATTGATGCAAGATTTCGTGCTGTCGTACGCTTCAGAACTAAAACTGTATTTATCATACTTACGATTTTTTCTATCTTACTTGTTGGCACCTGGATAACGCCAGATTCTAAATTCCATGTAAAACCTAACCAGTCCAATATCTGTGATGGATAAAACACTGATTTTTCGTAATTTGGAAGAAAACCTGCTTGCAATAGCGTAGAATATACAGATTCTGCCATATGTATACATTTTTCTTTTGTATCACACGCCCACCCATCGTCTAGATAAACATTTATCGGAAAACTCTGAGCTCTCCAATAATTCACTAACGTTCGTACAATTTTTGTGAAAATATGCCCGGCCGAAGATAAACCGAAGCGTAAAACAGTAAAAACGAAATATCTCTGTGCACCGTCCATATACCATGAAAAAACCAAGAAATTTTTGATGTTCTGAATGTATATTAACATGATGATAACCTGAACGTAAATCAAATTTGAACATATAATAACCCTTCTTAGCCTATTGTTTCGCTTCCTTAACACCCTCAAATTTTATTCTCTGTTTTAAGACATATTCATTCACATGCCTTAGATCTAAGACTAGTCGGGTTGACAACATATGGCTTTTCTGAAACCTCTGAAATACACTTGCTGTCAAGTAATTCTCTTATAGCTTTTTCTACAAACTCAGAGTTGTCAAGAGCTGATTTGTTATTCTTAAGACATGCAGAGGTAGGATCTTGTATAAAAGGAATAACATAACCATACTTTACTGTACTTAAAACTAACTCTGATGTGTTTAAAGTATTTTCCCATAATTGTGAATTATTTCTCAATCTGTTCTTTACAACTTTACCTTTATTCATGAATTCATAATTTTCGCTCAAATACTCAACTTGTTCTGTCTCTATGATGCTATTCTGCATTGGTACTGGTGGCTGTTGCTGGAGTGTTCGGTTTTCCTCTTGAGAGAATGGGTTTAAATGGACAGAATTTTGCGATGTGCCGTGGCCTTTTGCAATAGAAACACAACCCGTCGTTGTACTGCGTTGTGTTCTGTGCTGTGTTTTGAGAGTACATGTCGGTTCTCTGTCCAAAGTTCTGGCTGAAGCCACAAAAAACGCCCTGGGGTTGAATCCTCCTCTTGTAGCTCCTCTGCTGTAAGGCTTGTTAAAATGAGTCCTCTTTCTGGATGCCCTTATGACCGCTGAACGCAATTTTGTAGCGTCCTCACCGTTGTCAGCTAAGGGTTCGTCCAAATACTCCTGGACCGTATCCCAGCCATTGCGGTCTGCTATTTTGAGCTGATTAATGGTAGCAATCTCAGATTTAATAACAATTTCGATATCTTCTTTATTCTCAGACTTTAACAAAAGTTCAATTTTTTGTAAAGCAGCAATGCGGTCAGAATTAAAGTTAAATTGAATTTTAGTTCCTTCTCGTTTAAATTCAAATTTTGAAGGTTGACAAGCTCGTGTATCAACGTTTGAACCATTTTTTGGAGTTGTACTCACATTAGTACTTGCCGAGGATTCCGTGCCTTTTCGTAATTCTCCCAGTATTTCAGCTTTTTGGCGTTCAAGAGCTTTATTTAATGACGAGTTAAATAGTGAAACGGCATCTGCTGTAGACATATCTGTTTCGTCCTGTAACATTTCTTCTTCAAGGCGGTCCGTTTCCATGCTCGTGATTCTCGATTTAACGTGTATCGAGGTTATAGCGAGAGTCGATAAAGAATGCGTATGACCGAATGTATTTATAGTTACCTAGTCACGTGATCTACGAGTATTTTTAGCAAGTAAACAACGAAATGAATTTTATTTTTCTTTGGGAAAACTTCCCCTACATTTTGGGAAAATATCGGCATTTTTTCAATTGGGACTGGGGCCGAATTTTGGCACCAAATCACTAGCCAACAACATGTAGTAAAAGGTATGCATAAAAGAATAATATTTTAACATTAGATAGCCTTGTTTAACTGCACGTTTAAATTTATGTGACACATACAGGTGCTGCTGTGCTATAAGGGGTTATTAAACATCGATTCCGATATAAATCGAAACACATTTATTACCATTTTTTGTTCATCTTTTTTTTTTTAATATTTCGGCTGTAGTTTATATTGACTCTATAAAAAGGGGTGAAATTCTACTCTGAAAAAAAGAGGGGGAATCAAGCTCTGGTGTGAGATTTCCCTACAAGGGAAATCCTACTCTAGGTTATGATTTCAGGGGTGAAAGTTTGCTTTGGAGGAAATCATCCTCTTCAATACAGGTTTTAGAGGCATGAAATCAGTAATGACTTGTCAAGGTAGAGGCAGACAAGACCTGTAGTTGTCAAAGCTCAATATTCAGGTTTAAAAAGCAATGCACTGGAAGGTTAAAAAAGGGTTAAAAGTTAACTTAAAAAACAAAACTTGCCTGTGAAGAAAATATTGTTTTCATGGACGGAGGAATTTTTCATGTATACCTCACTATCATGCAAAATTGTATATTGTATATTATGTATGTTATGAAAGTTTCACAGGTTATTAAAATGGTCAATTACATATATGATTATAGGGCGTTGTATTTTTACTTCCGATTATGCATATTAGCTTCGAAATTTAAAAACTATTTGTAAAAGCCTTACACGAAGTAGCTTAAAACATTCCTGACAAACTTACCATTATAAACTCGATTCTTTTTTTTTCTTTAATTCTAAAACACATACGAACTCAAGAAAATTGAATTGATCAAAAATCCAAACTCATTTATGTGTTTTATCAATAATTAGTTTTTTTTAAACATACTTCTGACAAATTTCTGTGGAGTATTCTATTCCTATATAGAAAAACCTGTTGATTGAGTTTTTTACTTCCCTTTCGAGAAGCCTTTCAATTATTAGGTCATTTGAGTAACTCAGGTGACCTATTGCTATCCGTTTTCGTCTGTCGTCGTGCGTCGTGTGTCGTGTGTTAACAAATGAACATTTTCAGCTTCTCTTAAACCACTGAACCAATTTCAACCAGATTTGGTATACAGCATCTATGGGTAAAGGGAAACAAAAATTGTGAATTTCATGGTCCCCGCCCCCCTGGGGCCTGAGGGGTGGGGCCAAAACCACTAAAATTAATACGATCTTTAAAAATCTTCTTTACTCCTGGACACCAAGCAGGCAAACTGTTGGCATGAATGTAATGAGCATTGAGTCCTCTACCAAAATTGTGAAATTCATGACCCCAGGGTCAGGGGTTCTAGTGCTAGGGCGGGGCTCCATAGATTATATAGTGAAAATGCATTATTTCTTTGAAAATCTTCATTCCTGCTCCTGGGCATTAAATAAACTAACTAAGCACATAGTTATGATGAGCAAAAGTGCCTCTTCCAGATTTGTGAATTTTATGGCCCCAGGGTCAGGGGTTCTGGTGTTCGGGCGGGGCTCTATAGATTATATAGTGGAAATGCATTATTTCTTTGGAAATCTTCTTCTCTGCTTCTGGGTATTAAATAAACTAACTAAGCACTTAGTTATGATAAGGAAGAGTGCCTCTTCCAGATTTGTGAAATTCATGGCCCCAGGGTCAGGGGTTCTAGTGCTAGGACGGGGCTCTGTAGATTATATAGTGAAAATGCATTATTTCTTTAAAAATACTCTCTGCTTCTGGGTATTAAATAAACTAACTAAGCACATGGTTATGATGAGCAAGAGTGTTTCTTACAGTTTTGTGAATTTTATGGCCCCAGGGTCAGGGGTTCTAGTGCTAGGGCGGGGCTCTATAGATTATATAGTGAAAATGCATTATATTTTTGAAAATCTTCTTCTCTGCTCCTGGGTATTAAATAAACTAACTAAGCACATAGTTATGATAAGCAAGAGTGCCTCTTCCAGATTTGTGAATCTAATGGCCCTAGGGTCAGGGGTTCTGGTGTTGGGGGGGGGCTCTATAGATTATATAATGAAAATGCATTATTTCTCTGAAAATCTTCTCTGCTCCTGGGTATTAAATAAACTAACTAAGCATATAGTTATGATGAGCAAGAGTGCCATTTATAGATTTGTGAATTTTATGGCTCCAGGGTCAAGGGTTCTGGTATTAGGACGGGGCTCTTTTGATTATGGGTGTTGCTAAAACGCGGAACAGAAAACGGAACGGAACGGAACGGAAAACGGAATATAAATGTCAAGTAAAGAACCTTGATTCGATATGAATCAGACATAAAAAGCAATATTCATGATATATTAGTCATATTTAATGAAAGATTAACGTAAAATATGATATATTTGTATATTATGCTCCTCTCATAACATGTACATGCGATGGTCAATAAAATAGATACTGTGATATAGATGTACTAACGACTGTAAATCACTTTATTTTCGCGTAATTACGAGAGGCGATGCGTTCGCGAAAATTGAAACAGTGAGGAATCTTCATCGATTCAACGCTTGCCTTGACACGGGGCCTCGGATTTTAGAGTCTCATTCGAAGGACCCGCAACTTTCACTTCAAAGTACCGAGTGCATGGCGAAGGAACACTGCTACCCATTTTGTATCGACTTCAGTCAGTCCAGATGAATATTCGAACCTATGACCTCCCGATCACGGAGCGATCATCCCACCAATTTTGCTACCTTGAATGGTCCAAAATATAAATTGACTCATTGTTTAACAAACAATCTATTTTTCTCTTTTTGATTTATTAGTTAATGCAACATAGTCAACATTTGGAATAAATATCTCCTAACAGGTGTTTACAAAAACAGCTTTAAGCTTCATTTTATTCAAAAACT